TTATTAGAAACACATTTTTCATGTTAAACTCAAATCTACTTATGTGTCCTCATTTTTTCCCTCTTCAGAAATATAGCGCATGATGTTTTGTTTTGGGTTTTTTGGCCTTTTTTTTTTTTAGACCCAGTTTTGCTCTTGTTGCCCAGGCTGAAGTGCACTAGTTCACTCTTGGCTAACTGCAACCTCCACTTCCTGGGCTCAAAAGGTTCTCCTGCCTCAACCTCCCAAGTATCTGGGATTACAGGTGTCTGTCACCATGCTCAGCTCATTTTTTGCATTTTTAGTAGAGATTAGGTTTCACAAATGTTGTCCAGGCTGGTCTCAAACTCCTAATCCCAGGTGATCTACCCACCCCGGCATCCATAAGTGCTGGGATTAAAGGCACGAGCCACTGTGCCAGGCCAAAGGTTCTTAAAAATGTGAAGGCTGCCCAGGCACAGTGGCTCGTGCCTGTAATCCCAGCACTTTGGAAGACCGAGGTGGGCGGATCACCTGAGGTCAGGGTTTTTCGAGACCAGACTGGACAACATAGTGAAATCTCGTCTCTGCTAAAAAAGTACAAAAATTAGCTGGGCATGGTGGCAGGTGTCTGTAATTGTAGCTACTCAGGAGGCTGAGGCAGGACAATCACATGAACCTGAGAGGCAAAAGTTGGAGTGAGCTGAGATCAAACCATTGCACTCTAGCCTGGGTGACAAGAGCAAGACATTGTCTCAAAAAAAAAAAAAATGTGAAGGCCAATATCATGTCTTTTTTTAGGCATCTATTTTCCAATTTAGGCCACATCTTTTTGATTTCCAATCCCCATAAAATTTCTGGTTGTTTTCTGCGATAGAAATTTTTTTTGTCAATGTTCATCAGAAATAACAATGTTCATCTAGAATTTAACACTGGATACCACATGTAGTCCAACTGAGGAACTTCTATTCTCTAAGATCTTTCATTTCCTTCATTTTGTAAATGTGAAGTAGTGTAATATGTTGAAAAGAGCACTATTCTCAAGATCATGAGGTCTAGAATCCCATTGTGGTTTTGCTACAATTTTAAAATTTAACCCTGGGCTTCAAAAGCACAATGGCTACACACTTTTTTTTGTTTCTTTACACAGACACACAGAAAATGCCAGCATCCAAGCTCTGATTTTTCCTAAGTGAGGGATCAAAACTGTGTTTTCTGAAAAAACTGAGAGAAAAAGCCTAGGCCTCAGAGTCCAGTAACCTGTGAATGTGAAGCACAGGCCCATTTCTCCCCCTTCATTCAAACACAGCTGGAGAATCTATTCCCTCCATAGATCATTAGAAATTTCTTCTTTGGAGAAACAATACTTCTTAAAGAAAGACCTGGTGTTTGGAGGTACCCTAGTGAGTCACCTCTTCATTGTATCACTTTAAAATCAAACAAAGCCTGTCAGTCAACAACATTTGCTTATGTATGTATACATTAAAGTCATCACTTAAATTTCTCAGGCTCATGTATAAACAAACAGCTGAAGAACACCAGTTGTATGAGTCAAGATTCCAACATAAATGGAAAATGAAAATAATCCTGAAGGAAATTGACAGCACAGACACTAGAATAAAACTTAACCTTAACCCAAACTATTATCTATGCTAATTATTTTCTATTTGCCACACCTTCACTCCATTCTACATACGTTCTCTGCCCTACACTGTGACCAAGAAAGATGAACTCTAGCAGATTGTATCATCTTGGCTGGTTTCCAGTTGGGTTTAGTCTTAAAGAGAATTAGAGTACAAGAGAAAGAAAAAATTAGGGGTATTTCTTCATTTCTGTCTCCATTGGTGCCAAACAACTCTGGCAATAGCTGCATTCTTAGCAAGTCTAGCTCATAGCCAAAGGTGGTGGAGTGAATGTCTTGGCTCTGACTGTGTTCCATTCATGCTATTTCTTCCCCTTAATACTTCAACTGTGGCAGTAATAATACCTTCTGAGTGCTGCTGGTCTCTGAATCCCAAAAAAAATCCCCTGCTGAGGCCTTTGTAACTATATTTGAGCCACCAGAGGTAGATTATGCTTTCTGCAAAGACCCTATTTCCTTTAGTATTTTTAGAGAAATATAAAATATTTTATTAATAAATAACAAAATGCTATGAAAAAAATAAATGATCAAAATGCTAGACATATTTCATGAAAGTTAAAAATTGATAAAATAAAAGTATCAGTAGGAGGGTAGGAAGGAAGGTTCTCACAAAATTAGAATGGAAGGAAAAGGCCTAGAGCTGCAGGAGGGGTCAGAAAAGTTTAAGAGACTCAGTGCATTACTTCTGGAGGTCCAACATTCAACCAATAAGAACCGCATAAGAAAGAAGAAAAGAAAATAGAATGAGGAAATTATGCAAGACATAATATAAGAACATATTGTAGAACTGAAGGGTCCACTGACTGCTCAGTACACTAAATGTAAATTGCCCATAAAAGTAATAATTCTGGGAAATTATGAAACCTTCACAGACAAAAAAAATTATAAAAAAATGAGTTGCCCTAAAAATGTACTGTTGGATCTACCCAAGAACCTATCTCCCTCAAGTTCCTTCCAGCCAGTAACAGAGGATGACAGGGTACTAAAGCATCACCATTCAGGCAAGGCAACAGACTCCTTCATGGAGAAACTTTAACTTCAGGACAACCCATCAGCTTAGTTGAAGATTTCTTGGAAACGTATTATAGTCCCAGTCTCTTCCCAATTTTCTTCTTTCCCTCTTTCTATGAGTGTCAGACTTGCATTGTGGACTAACAGTGTTCTTCACCTTCTCCTGTTTATAGGTATTAGCTCTTAAGTTCTCTACCTTGTCCTTGATTGTAATAGCCACTATTTGTTGAGTGTCATTTATAAGCTCAGTGCTTCGTATACTGCATATTTCACAAAAACTCTGCAAATAGATATTGGTGCTCCAAAATAAAGATGAATAAATCTGATTTCTGTTAAGATTAAGCAACTAGTTCAAGGTCACATAGCTAGAAAGTAGAAGAACTATGACTCAAATTCACATTTTTCTGAATCCAAAGTCAATGTTCTCAATCTTTTATGTCTTATATTTTTTATCTTAAAGCTTTTATGATGTACCCAAGATAAATGAGAACATATGTCTACATAAAAACTTGTACATGAACACAGAGACACAAAGAAGAAAACAGACACTGAGACCTACTGGGCAGTGCAGGGTAGAAGGAGGCTGTGGATTGAAAAACTACCTATTGGGTACTATGTGTATTACCTGGGCGATGAAATAATATGTACACCAAACCCCTATGACACACAATTTGCCAAATAACAAACCCATATATGTACCACTGAACATAAAATAAAAGTTAAAAAGAAAACTTGTACTTGAATATTCATGGCAGCACTTTTCACAACAGCTAAAAATTAGAAACATCTCAAATTTCCGTCAACTGATTAACAGCTATAAATATGTGGTTTATTCATATAATGAAATATTATCTGACAATAAAAAGGGATTATGTACTGATATACATATACATATATCCCCTGCTGAGCTCTCTGTATCTGTATTTGAGCCACCTTAGGTTAATTCTGCTTTCTGCAGAGACCCTATTTGCTCTAGTATTTTTAGAGAAATATGAGATGAACAACATGGATGAACCTTGAAAACATCATGATAAGTGAAAGAAGTAAGTCATAAAAGGTTCAGTTTAGATGAAATGTCCAGACTGGGCAAATTTATAGTGACAGAATATAGATTAGAGGTTACCTAGAATTGAGGGGGGACAAGTAAAATGAAGATGACTAATAAAAAGTCTAGAGTTTCTTTTTAGTATAATAAAAGTATTTTAAATTGATTGTGTTGATGGTCGCAAAACTCTACAAATATACTAAAATCCATAGTACTTAAATTGGTGTATTATATATTATGTGGACTTTATCTCAAAAAAAGCTGTTATAATAAAAACAAAGCAAATAAATATATTGTTTTAAAAAAACTTTCATGTTACACAAAAAAACAGATACAAAATAATATTCACAGAATCTTTCTAGCCAAACCATATTATATAAAATCAACATGCTAAGAAACTAATTCATTTTGATGAATGACAAACTTACATAATTTACATTCAAAACAGAGCTACTGTTATGAAATACTAACCATCAGCAACTATATTCAAGCATTAAACTTGGGGGAATATATCACATTGATCTTAAATTTCTGCAAGAGTTTTTTTTTTTTTTAGTCACTTCTCTGACTCCAAGCTAATAATGTTTTATTAATGCTACCAATCTATAACTCTGTAGTTTTTAATTTCATTACGTAATTTTCTTATTAATAACCTGGGGCAGTTTTTGCATATCTGTCTAGAGGTTACAAAAGAACATGTCTACTAAGTGCAAACTCAGCCTTAAATTAATCAATGTAATTTATCTTTGTAATAGGTCCACTCTTGGTTAAAAAATATATTTTTGCATATGTACCATACAACGTTTTTTACTATTAACTATAAAATAGATAAACTATTTCTATTAGCAAAAGAGCAGATACATTAAAGTTAAGGCCAATATTGTCTGGTATCCTACACAATTCAAATGCACAACATACTCTTTTTTTTTTTATTGCATTTTAGGTTTTGGGGTACATGTGCAGAGCATGCAATACAGTTGCATAGGTACACACATGGCAGTGTGTTTTGTTTGCTTTCTCCCCTTCACCCACATTTGGCATTTCTCCCCAGGCTATCCCTCCCCACCTCCCCCTCCCACTGTCCCTCCCCTTTTCCCCACAATAGACCCCAGTGTTTAGTACTCCCCTCCCTGTGTCCATGTGTTCTCATTTTTCATCACCCTCCTATGAGTGAGAATATGCGGTGTTTCATTTTCTGTTCTTGTGTCAGTTTTCTGAGGATGATGTTCTCCAGATTCATCCATGTCCCTACAAACGACACAAACTCATCATTTTTGATTGCTGCATAATATTCCATGGTGTATATGTGCCACATTTTCCCAATCCAGTCTATCATCAATAGGCATTTGGGATTTTTGTCCCAGTCAGTCCGGAGGCTGCAGCTGCGGAGGTACTGCCTGCGGAGAAACTGCAAAGATGCTGTCCATGCGCGTTGCTGTGGCCGTGGTCCGCTCCCTCCCTCGGCGCGCCAGACTGGTCTCCAGAAATGCTTTGGGTTCATCTTTCATTGCTGCAAGGAACCTCCATGCCTCTAACACTCATCTTCAGAAGACTGGGGCTGCTGAGATGTCCTCTATTCTTGAAGAGCGTATTCTTGGAGCTGATACTTCTGTTGACCTTGAAGAAACTGGGTGTGTCTTAAGTATTGGTGATGGTATTGCCCGTGTACATGGGCTGAGGAATGTTCAAGCAGAAGAAATGGTAGAGTTTTCTTCAGGCTTAAAGGGTATGTCCTTGAACTTGGAACCTGACAATGTTGGTGTTGTCGTGTTTGGAAATGATAAACTAATTAAGGAAGGAGATATAGTGAAGAGGACAGGGGCCATTGTGGACGTTCCAGTTGGTGAGGAGCTGTTGGGTCGTGTAGTTGATGCCCTTGGTAATGCTATTGATGGAAAGGGTCCAATTGGTTCCAAGACCCGTAGGCGAGTTGGTCTGAAAGCCCCTGGAATCATTCCTCAAATTTCAGTGCGGGAACCAATGCAGACTGGCATTAAGACTGTGGATAGCTTGGTGCCAACTGGTCGTGGTCAGCATGAGCTGATTATTGGTGACCGACAGACTGGGAAAACCTCAATTGCTATTGACACAATTATTAACCAGAAACGTTTCAATGATGGATCTGATGAAAAGAAGAAGCTGTACTGTATCTATGTTGCTATTGGTCAAAATAGATCCACTGTTGCCCAGTTGGTAAAGAGACTGACAGATGCGAATGCCAGGAAATACACCATTGTGGTATCAGCTACGGACTCAGATGATGCCCCACTTCAGTACCTGGCTCCTTACTCTGGCTGTTCCATGGGAGAGTATTTTAGAGAAAATGGCAAACATGCTTTGATCATCTATGACTTATCCAAACAGGCTGTTGCTTACCGTCAGATGTCTCTGTTGCTGCGCCGACCCCCTGGTGGTGAGGCCTATCCTAGTGATGTGTTCTACCTACACTCCCACTTGCTGGAGAGAGCAGCCAAAATGAATGATGCTTTTGGTGGTGGCTCCTTGACTGCTTTGCCAGTCATAGAAACACAGGCTGGTGATGTGTCTGCTTACATTCCAACGAATGTCATTTCCATCACTGATGGAGAGATCTTCTTGGAAACAGAATTGTTCTACAAAGGTATCCACCCTGCCATTAATGTTGGTCTGTCTGTGTCTCGTATCGGATCTTCTGCCCAAACCAGGGCTATGAAGCAGGTGGCAGGTACCATGAAGCTGGAATTGGCTCAGTATCATGAGGTTGCTGCTTTTTCCCAGTTCTGTTCTGACCTTGATGCTGCCACTCAACAACTTTTGAGTCGTGGTGTTCGTCTAACTAACTTGCTGAAGCAAGGACAGTATGCTCCCATGGCTATTGAAGAACAAGTGGCTGTTATCTATGCAGGTATAAGTGGGTATCTAGATAAACTGGAGCCCAGCAAAATTACAAAGCGTGAGAATGCTTTCCTGTCTCATGTTGTCAGCCAGCATCAAGCCCTGCTGGGCACCATCAGGGCTGATGGAAAGATCTCAGAAGAATCAGATGCAAAGCTGAAACAGATTGTAACAAACTTCTTGGCTGGATTTGAAGCTTAAACTCCTATGGATGCACAACAAATACCAGTTCAGTTTTGTCATTGTATGCTCTATAAAATTAGTTCCATTTGTAAAAGGGTTACTCTCATACTCTTATGTACAGAAATCACATGAACAATAAAAGTTCCATAATGTGTAAAAAAAAAAAAATGGCATTTGGGTTGATTCCAGGTCTTTGCTATTGTAAACAGTGCTGCAATGAACATTCGTGTACATGTGTCCTTATAGTAGAATGATTTATAGTCTTTTGGATATATACCCAGTAATGGGATTGCTGGGTCAAATGGAATTTCTATTTCTAAGGCCTTGAGGAATCGCCACACTGTCTTCCACAATGGTTGGACTAATTTACACTCCCACCAACAGTGTATAAGTGTTCCTTTTTCTCCACATCCTCTCCAGCATCTGTTGTCTCCAGATTTTTTAATGATCGCCATTCTAACTGGCGTGAGATGGTGTCTCAATGTAATTTTGATTTGCATCTCTCTGATGACCAGTGACGATGAGCATTTTTTCATATGATTGTTGGCCTCATATATGTCTTCTTTCGTAAAGTGTCTGTTCAAATCCTTTGCCCAATTTTGAATGGGCTTGTTTGTTTTTTTCCTATAAATCTGTTTGAGTTCTCTGTAAATTCTGGATATCAGCCCTTTGTCAGATGGGTTAACTGCAAAAATTTTTTCCCATTCTGTTGGTTGCCGATTCACACTAGAGATTGTTTCTTTTGCTGTGCAGAAGCTCTGAAGTTTCATTAGGTCCCATTTGTCTATTTTGGCTTTTGTTGCCAATGCTTTTGGTGTTTTGTTCATAAAGTCCTTGCCTACTCCTATGTCCTGGATAGTTTTGCCTAGATTTCCTTCTAGGGTTTTTATGGTGCCAGGTCTTATGTTTAAGTCTTTAATCCACCTGGAGTTAATTTGGGTGTAAGGTGTCAGAAAGGGGTCCAGTTTCTGCTTTCTGCACATGGCTAGCAAGTTTTCCCAGCACCATTTGTTGAACAGGGAATCCTTTCCCCATTGCTTGTTTTTGCCGGGTTTATCAAAGATTGTATGGTTGTAGCTATGTTGTGGTGCCTCTGATGCCTCAGTTCTGTTCCATTGCTCTATATCTCTGCTTTGGTACCAGTAGCATGCTGTTTTGATTACTGTAGACTTGTAGTATAGTTTGAAATCTGGTAGTGTGATGCCCCCCACTGTGTTCTTTTTGCTTAGAATTGACTTGGCAATGTGGGCTCTCTTTTGGTTCCATATGAAGTTCATGGTGGTTTTTTCCAGTTCTGTGAAGAAAGTCAATGGTAGCTTGATGAGTATAGCATTGATTCTGTAAATTACTTTGGGCAGTATAGCCATTTTTACGATATTAATTCTTCATAACCATTAACATGGAATGTTTCTCCATCTGTTTGTGTCCTCTCTGATTTTGTTGAGCAGTGGTTTGTAGTTCTCCTTGAAGAGGTCCCTTACGTTTCTTGTGAGTTGTATTCCAAGGTATTTTATTCTTTTTGTAGCAATTGTGAATGGCAGTTCGTTCTTGATTTGGCTTTCTTTAAGTCTGTTATTGGTGTACACGAATGCTTGTGATTTTTGCACGTTGATTTTATATCCTGAGACTTTGCTGAAGTTGCTTATCAGTTTCAGGAGTTTTTGGGCTGAGGCAATGGGGTCTTCTAGGTACACTATCATGTCGTCTGCAAATAGAGACAATTTGGCTTCCTCCTTTCCTATTTGAATACCCTTTATTTCTTTTTCTTGCCTGATTGCTTTGGCTAGAACATACAGTACTATATTGAATAGGAGTGGTGAAAGAGGGCATCCTTGTCTAGTGCCGGATTTCAAAGGGAATGCTTCCAGTTTTTGCCCACTCAGTATGATATTGGCTGTTGGTTTGTCATAAATAGCTTTTATTACTTTGAGATACGTTCCATCGATACCGAGTTTATTGAGGGTTTTTAGCATAAAGGGCTGTTGAATTTTGTCAAATGCCTTCTCTGCATCAGTTGAGATAATCATGTGGTTTTTGTTTTTGGTTTGGTTTATGTGGTGAATTACGTTTATAGACTTGTGTATGTAGAACCAGCCTTGCATCCCCGGGATGAATTCTACTTGATCATGATGAATAAGTTTTTTGATTTGCTGTTGCAATCAGCTTGCCAATAGTTTATTGAAGATTTTTGCATCTATGTTCATCATGGATATTGGCCTGAAGTTTTCTTTTCTTGTTGGGTCTCTGCCGGGTTTTGGTATCAGGATGATATTGGTCTCATAGAATGATTTGGGAAGGATTCCCTCTTTTTGGATTATTTGAAATCGTTTCAGAAGGAATGGTACCAGCTCCTCTTTGTGTGTCTGGTAGAATTCGGCTGTGAACCCATCTGGACCAGGGCTTTTTTTGTGTGGTAGGCTCTTAATTGCTGCCTCGACTTCTGACCTTGTTATTGGTCTATTCATAGTTTCAGCTTCCTCCTGTTTTAGGCTTGGGAGGACACAGGAGTCCAGGAATTTATCCATTTCTTCCAGGTTTACTAGTTTATGTGCATAGAGTTTTTTGTAATATTCTCTGATGATGGTTTGAATTTCTGTGGAGTCTGTGGTGATTTCCCCTTTATCATTTTTTATTGCATCTATTTGGTTGTTCTCTCTTTTATTTTTAATCAATCTGGCTAGTGGTCTGTCTATTTTGTTGATCTTTTCAAAAAACCAGATCTTGGATTTATTGATTTTTGGAGGGTTTTTTCGTGTCTCAATCTCCTTCAGTTCAGCTCTGATCTTAGTTATTTCTTGTCTTCTGCTGGGTTTTGAGTTTTTTTTTTTATCTTGCTCCACTAGCTCTTTCAATTTTGATGATAAGGTGTCAATTTTGGATCTCTCCATTCTTCTCATATGGGCACTTATTGCTATATACTTTCCTCTAGAGACTGCTTTAAATGTGTTCCAGAGATTCTGGCATGTTGTGTCTTCATTCTCATTGGTTTCGAAGAACTTCTTTATTTCTGCCTTCATTTCGTTGTTTATCCAGTCAACATTCAAGAGCCAGTTGTTCAGTTTTCATGAAGCTGTGTGGTTCTGGGTTGGTTTCTGAATTCTGAGTTCTAACTTGATTGCACTATGGTCTGAGAGACTGTTTGTTATGATTTCAGTTGTTTTACATTTGCTGAGCAGTGCTTTACTTCCAATTATGTGGTCAGTTTTAGAGTAGGTGTGATGTGGTGCTGAGAAGAATGTATATTCTGTGGATTTGGGGTGGAGAGTTCTGTAAATGTCTATCAGGTTTGCTTGCTCCAGGTCTGAGTTCAAGCCCTGGATATCCTTGTTGATTTTCTGTCTGGTTGATCTGTCTAATATTGACAGTGGAGTGTTAAAGTCTCCCACTATAATTGTGTGGGAGTCTAAGTCTCTTTGTAAGTCGTTAAGAACTTGCCTTATGTATCTGGATGCTCCTGTACGGGGTCCATATATGTTTACGATCGTTAGCTCTTCTTGTTGTATCAATCCTTTTACCATTATGTAATGGCCTTCTTTGTCTCTTCTCATCTTTGTTGCTTTAAAGTCTATTTTATTAGAGATGAGAACTGCAACTCCTGCTTTTTGCTCTCCATTTGCTTGGTAAATCTTCCTCCATCCCTTTATTTTGAGCCTTTGTGTATCCTTGCATGTGAGATGGGTTTCCTGGATACAGCACACTGATGGGTTTTGGATGTTTATCCAATTTGCCAGTCTGTGTCTTTTGATTGGTGCATTTAGTCCATTTACATTTAGGGTTAATATTGTTATGTGTGAATTTGATACTGCCATTTTGATGCTAGCTGTCTGTTTTGCCCGTTAGTTGTTGTAGATTCTTCATTATGTTGATGCTCTTTAGCATTTAGTATGATTTTGGAATGGCAGGTACTGGTTGTTCCTTTCTATGTGTAGTGCCTTTTTCAGGAGCTCTTGTAAAGCAGGCCTGGTGGTGACAAAATCTCTGAGTACTTGCTTATTCACAAAGGATTTCATTTTTCCTTCACTTCTGAAGCTCAGTTTGGCTGGATATGAAATTCTGGGTTGAAAGTTCTTTTCTTTAAGGATGTTGAATATTGGCCCCCACTGTCTTCTGGCTTGTAGAGTTTCTGCCGAGAGATCTGCTGTGAGTCTGATGGGCTTCCCTTTGTGGGTGACCCAACCTTTCTCCCTGGCTGCCCTTAGTATTTTCTTCTTTATTTCAACCCTGTTGAATCTGACGATTATTTGCCTTGGGGTTGCTCTTCTTGCGGAATATCTTTGTGGTGTTCTCTGTATTTCCTGCAATTGAGTGTTGGCCTGTCTTGCTAGGCGGGGGAAATTTTCCTGGATAATGTCCTGAAGAGTATTTTCCAGCTTGGATTCATTCTCTTTATCACATTCTGGTACGCCTATCAAACGTAGGTTAGGTCTCTTCACATAGTCCCACATTTCTTGGAGACTTTGTTCATTCCTTTTTGTGCTTTTTTCTCTGATCTTGGTTTCTTGTTTTATTTCATTGAGTTGATCTTCAACTTCTTATATTCTTCCTTCTGCTTGGTCAATTCAGCTATTGAAACTTGTGCATGCTTCGTGAAGTTTTCGTATTGTGTTTTTCAGCTCCTTTAATTCATTCATATTCCTCTCTAAGGTATCCATTCTTGTTATCATTTCCTGAAATCATTTTTCAAGGTTCTTAGTTTCTTTGCATTGATTTAAAACGTGTTTTTTTAGCTCACAAAAGTTTCTTATTATCCACCTTCTGAAGTCTAATTCCGTCATTTCGTCACAGTCCTTCTCCATCCAGCTTTGTTCCCTTGCTGGTGAGGAGTTCTGGTCCTTTCTAGGCAGTGAGGTGTTCTGGTTTTGGGTGTTTTCCTCCTTTTTGCGCTGGTTTCTTCCCATCTTTGTGGATTTATCTGCCTGTCGTCTGTGTAGTTGCTGACTTTTCAATTGGGTCTCTGAGTGGACACCCAGATTGTTGATGATGAAGTATTTCTGTTACTTGGTTTTCCTTCTACCAGTCTAGCCCCTTCGCTGTACGACTGCTGAGGTCCACTCCAGGCCCTGCTTGTCTGGGGTGCACCTATAGCAGCTGTGGAACAGCGAGGGATGCTACCAGTTTCTTTTTCTGCTATCTTTTTCCCAGAATGATGCCT